TTGGGGAAATTGGTGGGGTTTATATATCTGTGAGCTAAGCGACTGAGCGACTAAGCAACTAAGCGACTAAGCGACTATATAGTTAAGTGACTAAGCGACTAAGTGACTAAGCGACTAAGCGACATGTTAATAATAATACAGGATAATAATAATATTCTAAGATAATAATTAATAAATAATAAATAATAAGATAATAAACTAATAATTAATTCGTTCTATAACAGTATTTTGAACAAGTTTACTTAGAGCTCAAAGATACAATTAATTAATAAAATTTTGAAAGATACAAAACTTCTGTATTTTTATTAATAAAAATATAGAAAATTCTGCATCTCTTAAAATCTTATTAATGGATCATGACTTTAAGCTCTAAGTAAACTTGTTCAGCACCAAGATCCACATCAGGATAGTATATATTTTTTATTTTATTTTCTTTCATTTTGAAGTAAAAATGGTTAAATTGTAAATTTCTATCAAAATTATAAATTTAGAATCTTCTTTGTAAAAATAAAGAAAAATAAGAAACATATATGCTATACTAATGTAGAATTCGGTGCTGAATAAGTTTACTTAGAGCTCAAAGGCACAATTCATTAATAAATCTTTGATAGATACAAAATTTTATATATTTTTATTAATAAAAATATAGATAATTCTGCATCTCTTAAAATTTATTAATGGAACATAACTTTAAGCTCTAAGTAAACTTGTTCAGCACCAAAATCTACATTAGAACAGTATATATTTTTCTTATTTTATTTCATTTTTACAAAGAAGATTCTAAATTTATAATTTTAATAGAAATTTACGATTTTAACCATCTTTACTTCAAAATGAAGGAAAATAAGAAAATTTTATACTATTCTAATGTAGAATTTGGTGTTTAATAAGTTTATCTAGAGCTCAAAGGCACAATTCATTAATAAACTTTTGATAGATGCAGAATTTTATATATTTTTATTAATAAAAATATAGATAATTCTGCATCTCTTAAAATTATTAGAACATGACTTTAAGCTCTAAATAAACTTGTTCAGCACCAAAATCCACATTAGGACGGCATAAATTTTTCTTATTTCCTTTATTTTGAAGTAAAGATAGTTAAAATTGTAAATTTCTATCAAAATTACAAATTTAGAATTTTTTTTGTAAAAATAAAGAAAAATAAGAAAAATATATACTGTTCTAATGTAGAATTTGGTGTTGAATAAGTTTACTTAGAGCTTAAAGGCACAATTCATTAATAACCTTTTGATAGATGCAGAATTTTATATATTTTTATTAATAAAAATATAGATAATTCTGTATATCTTAAATTTTACTAATGGAACATGACTTTAAGCTCTAAGTAGTATGTCTTGAATATGTGACAGGTTAGTGCCAGACTACCAATTAGATTTCAAGATCAGGTGTAATGTTATATGATCAAAACAAGTGTTCGTTTTGCTAAAAATCATGAATTACGTATAAGAAACAATCTTTTATATATTAATTAATAAAAAGTTTTTTCTGACCGATTTTACTATATATTTTGCTAAATCTAACCTTAATACAAATGTTAATTTAAAACATCAATAAACTTTAAAGAATTTTGCGTAGTTCAGATGTGTGATCAACAACCTGCATAACCTGTCATACATTTAAGTCTTGCCTCTAAGTAAATTTGTTCAGCACCAAAATCTACATTAGGACGGCATATAGTTTTCTTATTTTTCTTCATTTTTACAAAGAAGATTTTTATTTGTAATTTTGATGGAAATTTACAATTGTAAGTATCTTTACTTCAAAATGAAGTAAAATAAAAAATATACTGTTGACCCTCTCAGAATCAGTATGTATAGTGAACAGGGTTTGTATCAGTTTTAAGAGGTTATCAGATTTGAAAACATAGAAAACTATTGGATTTATATAATGGAAACGGACTTGGTAGATTAATTTTTTATCAAATTTGACAGGTTATCAGGTTTGACAGGATCGGTTTTGAGAGGGTCGACTGTATATGCTATTTTAATGTAGATTTTGGTGCTGAGAAAGTTTACTTAGAGCTTAAAATCATATTCTATTAATAAAAATTTAAGAGATGCAGATTTTTATTAATAAAAATACATAAAATTCTGCATCTATCAAAGTTTATTAATGATTTGTGCCTTTAAGCCCTAAGTAAACTTATTCAGCACAGAATTCTATATTAGGATGGCATATATTATCTTATTTTTCTTCATTTTTATAAAAAAGATTCTAAATTTACAATTTTAACTATCTTTACTTCAAAATAAAGAAAAATAAAAAAAAAAAACATATGCCGTTCTAATGTGGATTTTGGTGCTGAGCACGTTTACTTAGAGCTTAAAGTCATATTCCATTAATAAAATTTTAAGAAATACAGAATTATCTATATTTTTATTAATAAAATACATAAAATTCTGCATCTATCAAAGATTATTAATGAATTGTGCCTTTGAGCTCTAAGTAAACTTATTCAACACCGAATTCTACATTAGAATAGTATATATTTTTCTTATTTTTCTTCATTTTTACAAAAAAAATTCTAAATTTGTAATTTTGATAGAAATTTACAATTTTAACCATCTTTACTTCAAAATAAAGGAAATAAGAAAACTATATGCCGTCCTAATTTAGATTTTGGTGCTGAACAAGTTTACTTAGAGCTTAAAGTTATGTTCTATTAATAAAATTTTAAGAGATGCAGAATTATCTATATTTTTATTAACAAAAATACATAAAATTCTGCATCTATCAAAGGTTTATTAATGAATTGTGCCTTTGAGCTCTTGCTCAAATGTCAAATTGGTTGGATTCACAAAAAGAAAAAGATCCTAGGTAGGTTATAGCAAGAGGGTGGGATGACGACAATGCACTTACACATTTGATATGGATGATACCTGATCAAGTAGAAAAGTGGATTCAGTTTAGTGATTGTGTTTTGAACGACATGACTCATAAGACAAATCGCTATGGAATAGCTTTGTCATTTTTTATAGGATTTGATCAAAATAAGTAGAATATTATACTTGCTCAAGGTTTACTTGCAGATGAGACTCGGTCTTCTCATAGTTGGATGTTTAGACAGATCATTGAGGCTACAAATGTACAACCAACTGTAATTTTAACAGATTCAGACCCGGCTGTTGATGCTGCAATAAGGGAGGTGTTTCCGAATACTTACCCAATACATTGTGCATTCCACATAACACAAAACATCCATAAAAATCTTAGAAAACTATTAGGTGATCAATACGGAAAATATCTTAGTGATTTTTATCAGTGTAGAAATAGTCTTGTTAAAGAGACCTTTTACAAACGATTTAACAAGCTCTTGGAAGATTATCCAAAAAGCAAAAATTACCTAGAATTCTTGTATAAATTAAAGGAATACTGGGCCCATTCATTCACATCTTTTAAATTTACTGGGGGCATGATATCTATATCTCGGGTCGAAGCAATAAATTTATGTCTTAAGAGGCTACTTTATAACTTCAATGTTTCTCTATATGATCTTGTTTCTGAAATTCATAAATTACTCAATCAACAAGATAAGAAAAATCAATATCAGTATTGAAAACTCGCAATACCATTAGTTAGAAATATTGAATATGTGAACTTCTTGTTTACTAAAGTAGATAAATGTTGCCAAACCTTTTTGACACCAACAATGTTAAATATGCAACGTGATAAAATGAATCAATCACTTTATTACGTTGCATATTTGGTTAGTGAACAAGATGTTTTACTTAATAATGATATGGATACTACTCTTTCAAATAATGAAGATGCTGATGATTCTCAAGCAACTATACATCAATTCTAGATATTGTTGGCTGTGAAAATGTTAATCAAATATGGAGTATTCGGGTTGGAAATTCATTAAATTCAAAGCATTTTGTTGTACTTACAAAGAATGATACCCATTTGTGTTCATGTCTTATGATTATTAAACAAGGAATTGTTTGCTGTCATTACTTTCAAGTAATGTTAAATACTCACAAGACTAGATTTCACATAAGACTTATTCCATCGTGCTAGTATAAAAATAAAGAGGAAGTAACCAATGAATTATTCATTGTTGCTGATAAATTTCATGACGATTCTTCCAATTCATCACAAGAAAATAGACCATTGTCTTATTTATGTGCTATTAATAACAAAACTATTAATATAAAACAGCAGATGAATATTCTTAAGCAGAAACAAATATATGGAACTCTCCATGGTGCATACAAAGTAGCCTTACAAAAGACTTTATCAACTAAATCAAAGTCTCAACGTCTCATTAAGATCTTGCAAGAATTTGCAGATGAAAATGATAAATCTGATAAATCTGACGAATCTGATGAATCTTCTGACAACGAATATAGTCAAGATAATTCAAGTGATAAAGAAAATGATGGTTCTAGTCCATTTAATTTACAAAACCCGAAAAGAAAACATGGAAGAGGAAGACCTTCAAGCACAAAGCGTTTTAAATCATCTTGTGAAACAAGTAAAGGTAATGAAAAGAAACAAAGATAGTGTAAAAAATGTGGAGGCTTGGATTATTATCAGAAGAATTGCAATTCTTGAAGTCTTTTGTAAAGAATTGCGATTCTAAGCTTTATTTTGTTCTATATAGTTATTATATTGTGTGATGTTTGATTATTCCTATGTATTATATTCTATGCTTAATTATGCTTAATTATATCTGCACTGCTTTATAATTATATTTAATTGATTGATTCTAACGTTGTATCTGTTTGTGTATTAGGTATCATCAGTCTAGAATTGTGTTGCTTAAATATCTTGCCCCAATCATATAGTTATTTCAAACTAAATCATTGAAGCAAGATATTTAGATGAATTTAACTAATTCTAGACTGGTGACTCTTCTAACATTTTTTTTTTTTTTTTTACAGTAATTAGAGTTAGCAACAGAATTACTATTGTGGTCAATGACAAAATTAAAGTTTGCTTATGTTAGATTGGAATTAGGGTTTAGGGTTTAGTTATTATATATTAATAGTAAAACGATAGATTTAATTGTTTTTCATTATAGCTTGGCCTGGGCAACTCGGTTTCATCGCTTCTTGAATGCTGATTGCAAATGGGTAGAGTTTGCGAGAAGCTAAAATGATGCGGCTTTGGTCATAGTCAGTGACTAGCCTTTATGAATTGCTTGGAACTTAGCCTAGTGCTGTTAACTTAAGTATTACAGGTTATTTGGATGAACGTTCATCCCTTAGAAATAGAGAGCAATTAAGGGATCCATTAACTCCCAATGCTAAACGGCAGATAGATTGTTTATTCTGAGACAGTAAAATCGGCAAAGGAAATTTTTGTTAGTATAGAATGTGATTTCTTATACAAACTTAAGCGAAAATAATGTTCGTTTAATTTCTACTTGTGTACTGTTACATTAGATTATTGTTTTATGTGAATTAAATATCTGATAATTAATTACATAGTCAGAGTCATATGATATACCACTGGCGATATATCGCCACTGTGATAAATTATAAAAGCCATTTATTAAATTAATATTAGAATTGTTAAATCAGAATTAATAGTATTATGATTGTCAAATCGGAACCAATCATAGTATACTATTTTATGCCAATTTATGCTAATTTTATGCTGATTTCCACCAAAATCTGTCTGAAATTGGCAAATAAACAAATTGACAAATAGTATCCAATCAGTATATAATCAGATTGCAATCAGATTACAATCAGTATACCTATTTGTATCAATTTAACAAATTTTTTACAATCAGTAATTATACTGATTTATCTTTTTTTAACCTGTGTATGTTACAAGTAATTTCAATAATTTAAGTAATTAATATGTAATAAAGAAGTTACAGACTATCAATTTGATTGTTATATAATTATTGATAACAATGAGTCTTAGACTAATTTGGGCTCTATATAGAAGAGTATTATTTTTTTACTCTTTTTATCTACTACTGTTTATAAACAATATCAGATTTTACTAGTATTAGGGCTTATACATGTAACAACTAGATTTAATTTGAATATAGAACTTAAAAAAATAATAATTTCTTTTAGAGTTAAACACTTCTACTATAGTAATTTTAAAGATCTTAAATTCAACTCTAATGAGTTGTTAACTTTTTTCTAAAGCTGACTAAGTTTATTTCAAATGTGAAATTTTGCTTAAATACCTTTTTGTATTACTGTATCTTAGATAGTCTGATACTCCAAATAACATAAAAATACATCATAAGCAGGGTACAGTATGGAAAAGTGCTAAATCTACAGTTAAAAAAACATAATATACTAATACTATAATACAAAATATGCTAATTGTAAATAAATACTGTAATAGCTTAATTTAAAAGAGTCAAAGTTAAAATAACATAGGTTCTTCCATATAGGAGTAAAAACAAAATAATAGAATAAGAACAAAAATAGTTAAAAAAAATATAATGTGATATATGCCTTTCACAATAGACTATGATTGAAAACATGTAATATTAATACTTTTTAAACAGTTTGAAAGTTTATAATCAACTCTTTCTAACGAACAAGTAGACCTTAAGCTCGTCAAAAAAGTATTAGTTAACATTAATGGGCACTTACTTTCTTATTTTTCATAAATAAAAGCAAAAAATTAATACCGTATAGACCTAAAATAATGCACAAGGCCATTTCAAATTTTGGCCTAAATTAAGCTTAATTTAGGCTAAAATTTAAAATAACGCCCTGCACATTATTTCAGGTCTATATGGTATGTATGAGTAACAATATGTTATTTTGTAGATTGGGACAATCAATTGGCTAGTTTATATTCACGATTTATATAAATCGAACCCCAAAAATTGGGTTAATTCTGGTCAAATTTGCAAATTTGACCAGAATTAAACCAATTTTGGGGTTCGGTCCTTTTTTTGATAATGCCAAATTCTCTGTAAATTTCAATAATTTTTGAAAAATATATCAACACCCATCTAACAAAATTTGATGAAAATTTTTTTTTAATTGTAGAAATCACCAGAATTCGAGTAAACAATAGGTAATCAGATTTGGTCAGGAGTGTGCCGAGATATATTCAATCTAAGTTTCAATGCAGCCTTTATTTGATGGATATTCAATTTTTTTACAGAACTTTAATTAAAGATATCTCAGCCAAAATTCAACAAAGTTAGTTTTATTCGAATTCTGGTGATTTTTAAAATTAAAAAAAAAAGTTTATTAAATTTAATTAGATGGTTGTCAATATATTTTTGATTAAATTTTTTTAAAAAAATTAAAATGATGTACATTTACAGAGTGTAGTATTATCAAAAAAGGGGTGTAGAAATATCAATTCTCTATATTTACTGGTATTAATATATTTCTATTATTATTAAATTTATTGAATTATAAGCCACCTTTTACATATATTCTTTGTGAAATTACTGAAGATAATAAATTGTTTGATCAACTATAATGTTGATTTAATTTTATATGTAGTTTTCACTTATGTACTTCTATAGAAGCTCTAATTTCTCTCTGAGTTGTAATTGGGCACATGAAATCCTGCCTTTAATTGAATAAACTAGATCACACTATCTTAGCATAGCCACAAAATCAAAAAACATTATTTGTTTTTTTAAATAAAAAAAATAAAAAAAATTTTTATTAAGTATTTTATTTATGCATTTCCAAAATTCTTTCTGCTATTAAAAAAAAAAAAGAAAAAAAACCAAAGTGATCTAAACCATTAAGAAAATAAAATTTTTATGAAGTTTGTTCAGTACTTTATTCTCAAGAGAATCAAATTTTGATGAGCCTAAGTTTATAAGTTTTTAACTTAAATTTACGCAACACTGTTTCAAATTCTTGGGCCTGATATAATATTGCATTATTATTACTCAATTAGTTGACTTTATTTACATGAAGAAGAAATATATGAGGATTCCGTTTGCTATCATTTTAGGCTTTACAAGCTCTATATTAACTATGCCAACTGTCTCCAAAGAGATATTATATTCTAAACAATCAACAAACACATATTATAGCCTATTATATCTTTCTAACCACCAAACATACCATAACGAGATTGTAGTCAAAAGGAATCATATATCTATAAAGAGAATCAATTATATAGTATTATCGTAGAAACCTGATCAATCCAACGAAGCAAAACAAATGAAAAAAAGAGAAAAATAAAGAAAATACAAGAAACAATAATCTAAATCTACTTTTTTTATTAACAAAAAATGGCAGGGGGTAATTTTATCTATAGCACTTACTAAACCTAACACTAACTCTAATCCAGGTCCTAACCCTAATCCAAAAATTTAATAAACTTCAAATTTACTCTGATTCCTATGTTTTTCCTTTTTTGGTTCGTGTAACTAGCACAAATAAGTAAAGTCACATAAATGTCAACTAGAAACATGTGATTCTATAAAGTCATCTGATCTCACAATAATGTTTATGATTGCTTTGTTATTTTAGTGACAACTAGGCTTAGGTTTTGATCTTATAATCGTATCAGAGCTTTTTTATACCAAAATTTGGCAAGGAATTTTTTTTACTAATACACAATAAGTAGTTTTATATATAAAATTTTGAATTATTTGCTATTTTTTAAAATTTTTAAAAAAATACATGATTTTCACATTACACCTAATCTTAAAATCTAATTGGTTAATTTATGTCGATAAGTGAAAATCTGTTGGTGCTACTGGGGTAGTTCTTCAATGACAGGTTGATTTTTACAGGGATCCCCAAAATTCCTGGTTGAAATACATCAACCTTTAAAATTTAAAAGATTTTTAAAAACTTTAAGCAAATATTTCTCAATAAATATTTAACTAATTCTAGCAAACCTTTTTTTATTTTAATTTCACAAATATGTATAATTAAAACAAAAAAAAATTTATTGAATTTGGTTGGATAGTCGTAGAGAAAACTTTGCTTAATTTTTTTAAAAAAGGTTAAAAATCTTAGTAAAAACATCTTTTTTAAACTTTAAGCAAAGATTCCTCAACAGTTATTTAACTAAATTTGATGAATTTTTTTTTATTTTAATTCTACATATATATAGAATTAAAATAAAAAATTTTTATTGAATTTAATCAGGTAGTCACTGAGAAATATTCATTTAAACTTTTTAAAAAAATTTACTGCAGCTTCTTTTTTATAGGTACTAAAACTTCAATCGAAGTTTTCTCAATGATTATCTAATCAAATTCAATAAAAATTTTTTATTTTAATTCTATAGATAGAATAGAATTAAAATAAAACAATTTTCATCAAATTTAATTAGATAATCATTGAGAAACTTCATATAAATATTTAGTATTTACAAAAAAGAAGCTGTGGTAAATTTTTTTCAAAGCTTCAAAAAACTATTTTTTAGTAATTACCTATTCAAATTCAATAATTTTTTTTATTTCAATTTTATATAAATGTAGAATTAAAATAAAAAAATTTTTATTGAATTTGGTTAGGTTATTGTTGAGAAATTTAGTTTAAAGCTAAAAAAAAATTTAAATCTAAGAAAAAAAATAATAATAAATTTGCTTTTAAATTTTAA